ACACGAGGAAACTAATTCTATCCTAACGTGGGTACTATAATTATCCTTCTTATTCTTCATTTACTCCTTATAAATATAGTTCATCGTGTTATCTATCCAATGCTTCAAACGACACCTCAAACGGAGTCCGGAAACTCAAGTTACAGCCTTTATAAAAATCTGTCAAAACATTGGATTGCTTAAGTAGACGCATGCCCCTTTTGAGTCGACGCATATGTATTTTGTCTGCCCCGGGTGTGCTCAGGTCAATCCAATGATTCGACGTGTACTGAGTCTTGAACCTGTGTGAGTTGATGCATGACCTCTTTGAGTCGACGCATGCTATTTTGTGTTGAATTTTTCTGCGATTTCACTACCTTATAGGTCCTAAAACATCATCTAATCATAGGTAATCATCATATATTATCATCCTATGTTTCTACATCAATTATACATCACTTGGGCATCATTATTCATCTCTAATATATCAATTCTCCATCAAACAACATCGAATCACCATCTATGAAACCTAAGGCAAACCCTACCTCCATCTACCACTTAAATCAAATATAATAATCAGATAAACACCCCTTACCTTATTGCTTCGAGTGATTGATTATGTTCTTTGTGCCTCTTACGATGATTCTCTCCAAAGCCTTTGTGCCCTGGCCTCTCTTCTCCATCTTTCATGATTGATTGTGAGAATAACAACTATCTCTTCTCTGTTATCACAAAGGACCCCCTAATATCTTCCTCAATTGCCCTCGCTTAGTCAACCTCTATTTACCATCACGTCCTCACTCTTCCTACTAATTAACAACACACCACTCTAATTAAAATAACTATTTAAATAATTATTCCTATTATTATATTCTCAATAATAATCCAAATAATTACTAAATAATTATTTAACCATTCTAATACTTCTAATCATCATAATTCACATCATGCACAATCTCATACCAGCACATCACACATATAATCATATAAAACATTAATTATTCATAAATACTCCTAATAATTCATTAAATAAATAACTTCTAAAAATTGAGGTGTTACAAAAAATGGAACACAAATTTGGATCACTTCTATATGAATGGATGGTTGGTTTACACAAAAGTTGAAAGGTTGATAAGTTTAGAAGAAATGGACTTCAAAGCTCAAGAATGGTTGTTTTTTTTAGCCAATTATAGTTTTGGAGAGTTTGAGAGGTTTTGAGGGATTGTGAATTGGTTATTTGGCTTGCAAATGGCCTCTCTATTTATAGTAAAAAGGTTTAAGAGGTTGAAGTAACCAGATCCTTGAGATAAAAAGTTATGGCTTGGTTGGAAGTGAAAAAAATTAAGTTTATGTGAAAATGGTGGTTCCAATGGAGAAATACAAGTGTGCTCTGGAGTTGTTGGGTGCAAAGGGATTTCTTATTGCTTTTGAGATTGCTTGTACTTATATGAAACAAGTTGGGAGCTCAATAAGATTGGACAATTGCATAAAGCATGCTTTATGGGAATGGAAGTATGGTCTTTTCCCCTAAATGGAAAGTTTTCTTGAGTAAAGCCTTAATCACTGGGATAATGTCCCAAATGTTTGTGTAATCATCTAATTTTCGAAGTATTTATGAGCTTAGAGGCATGTAAAGCAATATTTATAGGCATGTCATGAAGATTTGGTCTTATGGCTATCATAAAAATGACCTCTAATTCAAGTGAAAATGTCCAACTTCAATTCTTCGAATCTCTTAGCTCAAGCATGATAAATTTATGCTCTTGGACATTTTGGAAAGCTTAGAAAATATTCTTTAACTTTCATGTTGACCACTTTCCTTGAATCATCTTGGATCTTGGTGGAAATTGTCCAAGAAGTTGAGATAAAAAACTAACTAAAACTATTTGGAAAATTTCAAAGTGTTGGATAAAAAGTATCACAACTTCATGGGCTCATATATCTTAAATTAAGCACTTTTTGGAGATCAACCCTCAATGACACAATTGTATAATTCCTCACTCCTTATAACTTTTATGTTGAAAGTTTTCTTTGAATCAGCTTGCATCTCGGTAAAACTTACTTATGAAGTTAGGGTTTTTTAGGCACAAAACACTTGAATTTCTCTAAGTATTTGAAAATCTTTCAACTTTGACTTTTGTTGACTTTCTCGATTCTCTTGATTCTTGATGATCAAGTTGGGATAATTTTGAATATTTTGATGATTCTTGACTTGGTACACCCTTGTTTGACCAAAAAGTCAAAGTTTGACTTTTGTGTGACAATTTACTTTTTCTTCGGATGAACGCAAGTCCTCTATAACCAATGAAGTCTTGTGAGCATGATGCAATTGAGATGATGTGATGACCATGAGATGGTGTTGTTGATGATAATTTGAAGTAATCAACCTTGAATTCCCAACCATAAAACCCTAATTCCTGATTTTCTCTGATGAAGGCCAAAAACCCTAATTTCCTCAAACCAAAATGATGAGACCAAAATAATCGATGATGCTTTAAGAATGATGATCATGATGAGAAAAAACTCTTGAGAGATGATCCTATCCTCTTCAAAACCTTAATCTTGAGGAAAAATTTGATCACATGTTATGAATGATTGTGATGCAGATGAAAATGTATGTGGAGATGAATGAGTGTGAGACTTGAGTTAACTGTGGTTGAAACTCAAAAGGAAAATTTTGGGGGGCAATAATGAGGGCAAGATGTTTGGTGGAGAATACCATTACTAGACATTAAATTTTGAAATTGTTGGGATAAATATTCACGAGCATTATCACTTCTTAAGGTACGAATAAACACACCAAACTGAGTTTTTATTTCTTTATAAAATTTTTCAAAAAATAAAAAATAATTATGATCTATTTTTCATTAAAAATAACCACGTGCAATGTAAAAAATCATCAATAAAGGTGACAAAATACCTAGACTCAAGAGTAGAGATAGTACGCAAGGAATCTCAAACATCAGAGTGAACTAAAGAAAAAAGGAACAAAGCTCGTTTATTGACTCAATTGGGAATTGACTACGAGTGTGTTTCCCTAACTGACATGACTCACAATGTAAATTAGATACTTTCGATAAACTTGGAACCAACTTCTGTAATTTTGGAAGACTATAATGACTTAACTGAGCATAGATTGTGAGTGGAGAATCTTTGACTGAACATGTCTGAGATGACACTAAGAGGTAATAAAGGCCTTAAGACTCACATCTGACTGGGTAGGGTGTCATTATTATTAGTGAATGTGACAATACAATCAAGAGAGCGAGTTAAACGATAGACTGGAAGTAAATTAAATGGACAATTAGGTACATAAAGAATATAAGTAACATAGAGAAGGTAGAATTTGAACAATACTAATTCCTTCAGATCGGGTTTGAGAACCATTGAGAGAAGTTATAGTAGGTAAGAAACCAGAGGTAGAGAGGGAAGAGAAAAGATTTATATTACCAGTAACATGATTAGACGCACCAGAATCAAGGACCCAAGGTCCAAGAGAAGATGATTGAGAGAAGCAAACAAATGAATTACTAGTGTTTGCAACCGAAGCAGTAGAATTTGAATTCTGATAATTCTGATACCACTTGAGAAAATCATTGTAGTTTGACGTAAAGTTCTGAGGAGTAGCCATGAGTATCAGATTTGGAAAACTTGCACGCCGATGAGTGTGGCGGCCGAAAAATCATCGGGATCAGCCAAATCAAAAGAGGCGCTTTTGCCGGAAGGTCGCCGGAATTAGTAGCGGCGGATGGCGGCATCAGTCCGGTGGTTACAGGAGAATTTTGGAAAGTGAGATGAAAACCAAAGTGATGACACGATTTGTAAAAAAAAATTGTCATCAAAAGATAGTGGATTAACCGGGTAAAGCACGGTGAAGAATTGCCTCTTAATAGATTCTAAATATCATATTGAATTAGGAGAGACTAAGAGATATTTAGGTTAAACTGTGTGTTTTGAAAAGCACTAGAGACTTTATTATATATAGAGAGAAATTACAACTAATTACATAATATAATCGATGTGAGACTATTTTATATACAAATATTCTTAACACTATATATTTACAAATATCAACCATAAAAAAAATGAAATAAGATGAAAGAAACATATTAGATAATAACGTGAGTCTAAAATCATCACTTATCTTTAAAAAAAATATATAAATATTTGATGGATCAAATCCGTTTTTGTTAACCTAGATTGAGGGGAGTAGGAAGGAAATATTTAACAAAGATAAAACAAAGACAAAGAAGGTTAACAAAGATTTCACAAGTAGATAAATGCTATGATCATGTTACATTTACATATAGTTGGGTTTTCATTTATTTATTTATGTCAAACCCCTTGTTTTCAAAGGAAGGAGATTAAGTAATATCAAAAAATAATTAAATTCTTTGTTCTATTTTAAATTTAAATTTAGATTTTCTTTGAAGCATTTAAATCTAATTAGTACATACTCTCGCCGTCCCATTACGTCTTCCCTTCCTTTCCATTGAATTTCAGACAAAATTTACAAAAAAATATTTTTTTTTATCATTTCACACATATTAAAAAAAAAATATAAAAATAAGAGAAAATAATATTTTTATTATAATATTTTATTATATATTAAAAATAATGAAATTTATTATTATAATATTTTTATTAATATTAAGAATAATGAAATTTTTATTAATTAGAAAGTAGAATAGAAAAAATGTATTAGAAATTGAAATTTTTAAAACACTATTTTATTCAAATTCTAATAAGTTTCCAATTTTTTTTAAATTTATTTGGATGTTAGTATTATTTTTCTCCATTTTTCTTAATATAACTTTTAATAAATATAACATATTTTATTACATTCCAACACTTTAACTGACGTGGACTTGATAGCTGACGTGTACCTTATTTCGCGTCATAAAATTGATAAACAACCAATAGCAATAAAATCGTAGCTAGTATTTCAAACCATGCTGCAATGCAAACTATGGATTCGTTTCATTTTCTAGATTTCTCGCAGTTTCTCACCGTCGTCACCCATGGCCGATGATTCCGAATTCGCCGGAAAAGTTCCTCCGGTATGTACTCTTCTCTTCTTAGATCTCATTATCTTTATCAATTCATCATTCTTCTCATAGATCAACCCTTGCCTGTAACTTCCATATATTCAATGCTGATTTAATCTTTGATAGTTCGAATCATTGAAGAAATTTTTTGATGTTATCCATTTCTGATAATGATGTTCAACTCCTACCGGTTCTGATTGTGTGATTCATTGAATGTTTAATTTGGAATTATCTTTTTTTTTTTTTTTTCTGATTGAGTTTTGATTTTTAGGTATATGTTCGTATTCAGATTTAGCTATTTAGTGATGTGTATTTGTATGTTTGTATTTATTATTTGGCACTGTTGCTGTTGTGTAGGTTGAGATTTTGTTTTTTTTATTTATTGCATTGATTCCTATCGATTTTATGATGATGCTAATTTGTGATTTATGTTAGGGGTTGTTTTGATGTTTTCAACTTCAAAAATCACATGCACGAATAGAATGGAATGAATTTAATGATTTGAGTTTGTGCATGTCTATAAATTCAATTTTCTTACCTTTGATTGGAGGCGTAAATTCATTTGTGAGTTATTCTATGTTCATAGTACTATGAGGTTTTTTTTTGGTAAATTATAACTATGATGAGATGTTCAAATCTTCTTGTTTTGAAATTTGAATTGTGCTTCAATATAGCTTAAGGATTGGAATCATGTATATGATGTGTGTGGCTTCCTTTGATGTTGCATCTTTATCTCCCTTCAATTTGATGTTACCAATACCATAAAATTCTCTGAATGGCAGCTTGCAATCTGTTCAATAAATAATACATATTCCATATTGATGCTACACTCGTCGTCAATCTCGAATAAGCTCGGTAACACCGACATCTGTCAGCGTCTAAAACCGACACAGACACTTGTGATTACATTTAATTTATTCATTTTTTTCAAAATATTACCGGTGTCGCCGTGTAAGTGTTGGTGTCCTGTTCATGACAAATAAGTCCATTTATTTAATTGTTGTGTTGGGGAAAATTGTAGACTTCTTACTAATGGTTAAGATGAGAACAAAGATAAGACACCACAAAGAAAATAGCATATTAGTTGTGACTCATTATTCTCTTTTACTTGCGTCCATAATGTTATCTCAAAATAACAACACAAGTTATGTGGAAACTTGAAATTTCTCTCGATTTGTGTATCATCTTGCAAACAAATTTCTTGTGGATTCAGTCATTTGATATTCAGTCATTTACTTGCGTCCATAATGATATTCAGTCATTTGAAACACTGCACTACACAAGTGACCTTTCACACTTGCTTGTGGATTCACTCATTTCTTTTCTATTGAGATGCCTCTCAACTTTTTGCAAGAACCCTGTATATAAGCAGTCTCCTTCCTTCCTTCAAAACAGAAAAACATTTCTGTCATGTGAAGTACCAAACCTCTTTTCTATTATTTCTTGGAAATTTTAATTGCTTTTCTGCACATTATGCGAGCAATATTTTTAAGAAGATTAAACGAAATTGCACCTTGAAGTCATTCTTTGATTGCTGTGTAATTCATGTTATTTGTATTCATTGGTGGTGGTAAGTTGTGGTGAATTACATTACATGTCTACTTTCATTATAAAATGGTTTTAATTTTTATAATTAGTTTTTTGATTAGTGCTATCCGATATAACCTTGTTTAAGTGTTTTTTTTTTTGTTGTTGTTTAGAATGCTGGTTCTCAAGGGTTCAACCCAGGCTTAATAGTTCTACTTGTTGTTGGAGGGTTGCTATTGACATTCCTGGTTGGAAACATTGTGCTCTACACTTATGCACAGAAGATCATTCCTCCTAGAAAAAAGAAGCCTGTTTCAAGGAAGAAGATGAAAAAGGAGAGACTGAGGCAAGGAGTCTCTGCACCTGGAGAGTAGAGGCAATGGACTCCGATGTTCTATAAAATGTGGAAAATGTGGATTACCTTGTACTTTTAAAAGAATGCTAGTTCTGTGGTGTTTTAAGTTGATTTTCATGTTTCCATCATGTATGTTACTTGAGAAAGTTTATCATTAGTCAGTGCTTTAGCAACTTATCTTGTGGTTTAAATCATCATTTTGCCTCCTTTATGATTGTACTTGCATTATGTTTGGATGACAAACAAACAATAGGGGAAATATAAAGGAGTGAAGAACATAAGATGGAAAGATTCCCCCATTACTTTCTTGAAAGATTTCTCTCATAATCAATGGAACGAGGGGAATCTCAAGAAATAATACTGTTGTTCCTTGATCAACCTTTCAAATAAATAGACACGGTTATAATAATTAAGATTACTATTATTTTAGAAATATCTATCTTAATAGTCAAACTTAAAATAATAATGACAAATTATTGATGATGTATAATTTGTCAAAAATAGAATAGTAATACTAATCATTCACTTAGTAAAATAGTAATATTTCACCTAGTATAAATACCTCTCTTTGATAAATGTAAAAGACACACATTTTATCACTTTGAATGAAAGAAGAAATATCATTCTACTCACTTCTTTACTTTCCATTTAGTTTGATATTGTAAACCATCACCATATTAGCTTCACAAATCTAACTAAGTTAGATTCAAATATCTAACTTTTCACAACATATTATCAACACGATCATTTCTATCGGAAGTTTTTGTTAAACTATGTATATAATCTATATTTATCTCTTTAATCTTATTATTACTATTATTATTATTCGTCCCGTTTATAGAAAACTAACAAGCTGTCAAGTGCTCTATAATAAGTGTGACTATTCTTATTATAAATTTTGTGTGGAGATTTAAAACCCCATATGCAATTACTAACATTTATATTTATATAATTACTAACTTTTATTCAATGAAAGTCTCAGACTTCATATGCAATTACTAACGTTTATATTTATGCAATTACTAACTTTTATATTCAATGGAAGATTGAGACTCCATATGTAATTACTATTATATATATGTAATTACTAACTTTTATATTCAATGGAAGTCTGAGACTCCATATGCAATTACTAACGTTTATATTTATGCAATGACTAACTTTTATATTCAATGGAAGTCTGAGACTCCATATGCAATTACTAACATTTATATTTATGCAATTACTAACTTTTATATTTAATGGAAGTCTGAGACTCCATATGCAATTACAAACGTTTATATTTATGCAATTACCAACTTTTATATTTAATGAAAGTCTGAGACTCCATATTCAATTATTAACGTTTATATTTCGTAGAGGTTTAAAACCCCATATGTTGTTACTAACTTTTATATTTGGTGGAAGTTTAAAATCTCATATGTTGTTACTGAATTTTATATTTAGTGGATGTTTAAAAAAAACACATATGTGTAGTGGTAGAAATGTTCAAGACTAAGCCATTGGATTGACTAGACTTTATACAAATCCAAATAAAAATCGCCACCGCGCTTTATTGTTTCCAAAGAATGGGAAAAGAGCGAATAACCCAAAAAGAGGGGGAAAGATTCAAGGTAAGTGGGTTGGTTATGCAAAAGGAAGGTATTAGCACCCTAAACATCTACGGTACTCCGCAGGAACCTCTTTGAAAAATCTGTATATTTTGACTATAAAAATGTGTTGTATATAAAATAGATGGTGGAGATGAGAAGAGAAATATTTTTTATGATTTTTGCACCTGCCGCGGTTGCGAACCTTTTAGTGCCTACGTACCACCTTTCGTGCAATAGGGGATCAAGGTACACGTAGTTCCTCTTTTAAAAATTTGAAACACAAGTATGTTGGTTAATTTTAAGAGATAAGACATCATCGTCATTGTTCGTATGGAAAATATACTTACTACCCACGATCATGAGAAAGGAGAATTTGCATCATCTCAGAGTGGAGGATGTGGCTTGGATCTTAAAATCAACAATGCCTCACTCAACACCCAAGTGGAAAATATCTCACTTCACTATATATTGTAGAAGTATAGTTGTTTGCATCACTACAAGGATTGACAAGAGTCTAATCTTTTTGAGAAAGAGTTTAAAGATAAAAAAGTCAAAGTGGAAAAATGGTTTGAAATGAGATTGATTGACTTTTAGTCTTCTCACAAAAAATGTCAAGGTATTATTAAATTGATTGAAGTTTATTTATGAAAATATTTTGAAAATGTATGGACATAAGTTCAAGTTTATTATGAAAGTATTTCAAGTTTAGAAATAAGAAGAATTTTCAAAAGGATGGAGAAGATTTTTGAAATTAAAGAAGATGGGAGGAGAAGAAGAGGCTATCCTAAAGCATAAGGTAAAAGCTAAGGAGAAGAATCATCTAACCGACAAGAAGCCAATACTTGACATTATGAGTCAAGATAGAATTCTCATTCTTTGGATTGAAACCAAGCAAGAAAAGATACTAGACCTCTTGAGAGAACAAAACTTCAAGTGTATTAAGTCTTCACAAAAATTGGGCAGAGTAACGGCTGTATACGGGTGAATTCCAGATTACAAACAGAGAATGTAATCACAAAAACCTACACACAAAAAGCAAACAAGCAACCCAATGTCTTGAGGTAAACCTCAAGAACTCCAGACAAAAATAATCAGATAAGATCAAAAGGTCTCCAAGATAGGCCAAGGTTTCTAATCCTAAGTCCAAGAAAAAGTCTCATGCTCAATCATGCCAAGGATAATAACCAAATAGTCCAAGTGCCATTAAAAGTTTTTTAGGGTTTATGTTGATTATTAAGTATCTTAAGAAAAGAAAAGAAAAGCTCAAGTGAGCAAAGTAAAAATGGCAAGAAAATAAATGCTCAAATGAGCAAAGATGAAAATGGCATGAAATGTAAATACTAAAAAAATAAATAGTACATAAAGTATAAAAAAGAATAAAAGCATAAGATAAAACAAGTCAATAATTAATGGTTAGTTGGATGACCATCTTGAAACTTGTATTTGGAACTCATTAGAGGATTGGTAGAATCAAAGCCTCCACACAACAAGTTGCATTTGCTTTTTGTCAAGTATATCATCCATTTGGAATTCTCACAAGTATCATTTAATGATCAACAATGTTTAAGTGATCCGCGTTGACCAAAGGTGTTGTAGATCTATTAGAGGATTGGTAGAACCAAAGCCTCCACACAATGAATCTCAAAGTTATTGGATCAAAAAGATCAAATTAACATACTTGGGCTTGTAATCATAAGTTTGGGCCACAAATGATCATTTATTCGAATCGGGACAAAATTTAGCGCTATATTAAGCAATCGTAAGTGGACTTATATAGAAGTCGCACCTATTTTGAAGCCGGCCAATAACAATCTATGAACTATTTGTTTTGAGACATGATATAGAGATCATGCTCCAACAACACTTAGTGCAATAAGAAGGGGATGAGATGAAGAGGATTAGGCTAAAAAAAGAATCTACAAACCACATTTGAATTAAATTTTAATCAAACTATTATTAAAATCATTCATCTATTTTTTGTGGAGTTAAACTCAACACCATGGATCCAATGATGTTAATAAAGTTCATGATCCAAAACCTAACACAAGATTAGCCAGAAAATAATCACAAAATAATATTATATTTAATATATACATAAAAAAAAGTTTAAAAATAGAAAATAATGGGGAAAATATCAATTATGTTCAAATTAATCAAGAAATGAAAAATAAGGCCATAGAAAAATCATAAATGGATCCACATATTTTTATAAAAATTTTGGTAATTTTTAAAAGTCAGAAACTATTTTTAAACTATTTAAAATTGCTAAAACAAACATAAAATAGACCAAAAATAGTAAAACTCAATATAAAATTCCATAAAATTTTTAGAAAGTCAAAAATATGCAAGATAATATTTATGAATTTTTTCAGAATTAAAAAAATGTCAGAAAGTATTTTTTAATTAATTAAAAGAAAGCAAATAATACAAAAAATATAAAAAATACCAAATGTTAAAATAAAAATGTGAAAAAATAGTCATGAGATCAGAAATAATTCCAGGTATTTTTGTGAATTTTTTCATAATTTTTGGATAAAAAATAAAAGAGTTATGAATTTTTGAAAATTTAATCAATAAAAATATAAAATAAGAAAATAAAATAAAACCAAAAAGATGTGGACCATCAGATCATAGTCAAAACACGTTAGTAAGCTAATCCAATGGACCAGACGCGCTGTGCTTGATATGGACCTTAGTGAGACACACATGTGATCAGGAAAAGGGCAACCAATGAAATTAAAACGTTTGACACGCTATCATGGGCTGAGATGAGACGTGTCATCGTCTTCAACCTCCAGACACCCTGCAATGGGGATTTTGTGAGATCCTTCAAATGGAAAAATTAGGATCTCAGGCTAGCATCATTGAACTCGTCTCTTCAAGACGATTCTAACACAACCATCGGGCCAAATTTATATAAGGTATGGAGAGAGATATGAATCAAAAACCCAGAAAATAGCGAGCACCTTCAATTTGAGATTTCTCTCTCAATTCTGAATGGATTTAAAAATTGTAAGCAGCATTAGAATCAGAAGAAGGAGTAGGATAGATTAGTGCTTGATTTGGATCCAAATGGTGGAGAATTCTACATTTTCGAAGTTCAAGTAAGAAGCTCTGAAACTGGACTTCTGTAGCTTGAATTATGGCTCATTTTGATTGGTTTAAGTGCTGGAGAGTTTGTATGATGCTCAAGGATGATGAATGCGCAAAGAATTTTGGAAAAGGAAGCTTAAATTTCAGAAACTGAATTCAAAAAAAGTGGGTTCGTGTGAGGTTTTGGCAGGGTGTTCTTGGCTCTCTAAGCTTGGGAAAATGAATGGGGATGACCCTCTATTTATAGGGAAGTGAATGGGAATGAAAATTTAAAGAAACAAGGAAGTTTGAAGGGAAATTGAGTAAGGTTCGAGCACGAGTGAAGTGTGACTTC